CAACCTTTGCTCACATATGATTCATCCTTATAGTCAACTGCAAAGGAATATGAACAGAACACTCTTCTCAGAAAACCCTAAGAACACACTGGCTCTGTCTGTGACTGACATACATACAATCCTTTGCATTGTTTCTGTTTGCATTTATCTGAAATAAACACCTTTTTTAATCCACAGGACTCTATGATAATTTTACGATGACTGTTAGTTATAAACTGAAGTCTCAAGATCAGATGTAATGCATTAATTAACAACACATTTAATAATGAATTTAGGCTTCCAAAAAGCGTGGTTACTCTTTTAAAATTACTTATGGGAAACTTGATTTTGTTTATTCTTTCAAAAAAGCAGCAGCACAGGACTAACAACATTTAGAATGCAAGCAAATGGGGGAAGGAATTCAGTACAGAGATGACTTACCATTCTTATTCAAAGAGAAGATGAAATGTTTCTCTTTCACTATGTGAAATTACCTTTAGTTTAGTATCAAATATGGCATTTTCCTATGGTCTTCCTCACACATAGTAAAGTTTCTTCAGCTAATAACGGCTTCAAGCTTTCTCCTGGGACTCTCCAGAAATTACACTCCAGAACGTACATGTGCCTTAGCCAGGCTTGCAGAATATAGAAAATGTAAATTGCTGTATTTGAGTTTATATCTTCTTATAGCAAGTCACTGACAGTGCACCCACTAATTACTATTTGAACCATGTGTTGCTGACCTCTATATGCCTCTTAGACAACAGCAGTCATGCCTATCAGCTCTAACAGACTTTTACAGCCAGGACTCCAATTTTTAATTTAAGTTAGAAAAAATCATAAAATTAGACGGGGAAAAAAAGATGGGGAACAAAAGGGAAACGGCAACATTTATTTAAACCCTAAAATAATTTACAACATGTTCTCAGACCCTGTTTTAAAGTCCAATGTGCATTATTTCCTGTTCATGCTCTCCAAATTGCCTCTGGTCACACAGACTATTCAACAGTTTTTATCCTTACAGTTACAAGAAATACAGCAATGTAGGCCAGTGAACAATGCAAAGTGTGGTATCTACTACATGTGCACAAAGCAATTATATTTTGCACATGCAGTTGTCTTGTTTACCCAGTGGCAGTAAAAGCCATAGCCTGCTCAGCGGATGCCACCGTTTTGAAGGAACAAACATATTGAGGAAAGGAATTCTGCAAGTACATGAATCATTTTATGCTAAGTTTGTTCAGTATATAAAATAGCTTTTTTCTAAAACATCACTCTGCAAAATCGATCTGGGAATATGCAACTTGCCTTTTCCTGTTTCTTTATTATTGAAAATTCTCGATATCTAAACAGCATCTTAAATTACAACTGTGCAAACCCAGTGACAAGGTACACTTTGTACATTTTTAATGTGAAGCTTAATTTGAAGATGAGGTTGCAGTGCAGCATTGCAACTGAAAATTGCTTAACAATACCATTGATGTATGAGCCATAAAAAATCTTGCTAAGCTGTCCCTGCAGAACTCGGAGTAATAAAAAGGTGTTCTTTTGCACTGAGGTGAACAGACATGGTTGACTGCATCTAGGGAGCTGTTCTGTTAAATGAGAAAGTGCCATTTCTTTCCTGTCAGTACAGACCAATTTAAGACACTCACAGATTTAGTTAGCACAGAGTACAGAATTTAATGAAATACACACATAAAGCAAACAAACCACAGCTATGTTCAAAGCTTTCAGTCAAATTGTGTGCAGGATTAAACTTACATCTGTGACAGATGTGGGGAAAAAAAACCTACAAACTTTTCCAGTCACTCCTACTTTTCAGAGAAACAATAAAAAAGCTGAATGGAAAAGGTCTAAAACCTCTCACCTTCATTTCTTTCAAAGTATCTAGACATGTATTTCTACCCACATCTAAAAGGCAACACTACAAGTTTTCTCTCTGATTTCATTTTAACTCTAAGATCAACCAACAGATGAGGTTTACGAAACCCTACACTATCAGCTGAGTGTCATGATATCTTTATTGTGAACTGATGCTTCTTCCCTAAATGATTCCTCCGAGAGGAAAGGAGACACACAGGTGCACTGAATTGACTGAGAAGCTGGTTCTCACTTGAGAGATCCTTGCGTAGGCTGATTAAATCATACAAAATTGATTCACAGTTTGTGTTGCCACACCTGTGTCTTTTTGCATAAATACTTTCAGAGAGCAATGGAAGTTACCTGTCTAACCTACATGCAACCTAATCTGTCAACAAGTGTTCACTAACCCAACTGTCATATTAGAAGAAGCCACAGTAACTCAGAATTTATTTCACAAGATGTTGTGATACTGCTAGTTTGGCCAAGCAGTACCAAAATTACAACTAACAGGATTCGTTCTTTAAAAAAACCCCACAGAAATCTGCCTAATTTCCATAGTTAATCTGTCACTAAATTCTGGATTTAGGGAGTAACAAACCCAAGGAGATTTCTGGTTTCTTTTATATGAATGCAAAGTCAGTATATGTAAGAATCAACAATTTCTGTAGCTGTTTTCAATACGAGCAGCTATAACAAGATTTGGCAAAATCTCATAACTACTTCCAAAAAAGACTTAGTGACCCACATGTCAATTCAGTCTAGCTTTTGCAACGTTAAAGGTACTTGACTAACAGCTCAGTAAGAGATGTTATTTCATTTCTGACGTAGCAATATTTATTAGTACATGATAAAACTAAAATTAAGTTAGCTATGTCTTAGTTTCCTGATAAAAGCATAAGACAAATTTCCTTTGGGAATGTCAGATTCAAATGGGACACACCATTCTCAAATGTTTTTCACATTTTGTAGCTCAAACCAAAATGTGGACAGTAATTTTCTTCAGCACAAAAAAAGACAGAAACGACAACTTCAACTTTGCAATGGCAATTTTACTGCAAACAACAAACAGATCAGCGCCTTCACCCTACTTGTCTACTCAACTTCCATCCCATCTCAACTTAGCGAGTATCTTTTTGCTCAAGTTACCTATTTAAAATTCACTTCTTGGAGCTGCATTTCTCTCATACCATCACAGATCCTTTCAAAAGCATCCTTTCTCCTCAGAAAATATTCCAGCCAGTACATCCAATGGGTTCCTTCCAGCCTAAGCTGTTCCATCTCCTCTTATTTACACTAATATGCAAGTTCAGCACGGTTTGCATCAGCATCTTTCCCGCCATTGTCACCATTTGCCTAGATATTGCATATACTCAAATCTCTTCTAAGCCTTGTACTCTGGTTCTGTGTTTCACAAACTTTTCTACAAATTTCTCGTAGTGTAGTACCTTCAGCCAACAACTGACAGTCTTCCTGAGGTTCCCATTACCTCGATTCAAGTTTTCCAAGTGACTGCTTTTTGGGTGTCCTGATTTCAGCTGGGACAGAGTTAATTTTCTTCCTAGTAGCTGGCATAGTACTGTGTTTTGGAATTAGTATGAGAAGAATGTTGGTAACACCCTGGTGTTTTAGTTGTTGCTAAGTAGTGCTTAGACTAGGAAAAGACTTTTCAGCTTCCCCTGCTCTGCTAGGTGCACAAGAAACTGGGAGGGGACACTGCTGGGACAGCTGACCCCAACTGGCCAAAGCGCTATTCCAGACTGTATAACGTCATGCTCAGTATAGAAACTGGGGGAAGAAGAAGGAAAGGGGGGACGTTCGGGGTGATGGCGTTTGTCTTCCCAAGTAACTGTTATGCATGATGGAGCCCTGCTTTCCTGGAGATGGCTGAGCACCTGCCTGCCCATGGGAAGCAGTGAGTGAATTCCTTGTTTTGCTTCGTTTGCATGTGTGGCTCTTGCTTTACCTATTAAACTGTCTTTATCTCAACCCATGAGTATTCTCACTTTTACTCTTCCAATTCTTTCAGCCATCCCACAGAGGGGGAGTGAGTGAGCAGCTGTGTTGTGCTTAGTTGCTGGCCGGGGTTAAACCACAACCCTGGGATTGTCAAGTAAGAGCAGGTCCTTCTCATGTCAATCAATGTTGCTGCAGAGCATAATTCCAAAATCTGATGATGTTATTCTCAAGATTTGTTTTCCCTTTCTCTGCTGTTTCCTACAAAATCTCCTTTTAAGATACTTTGCAAGCTCAGACTATCTATTTTGACGTTGGCACTTCTCATATTCGGCTGAAACACTAATGGTAACCAGACTAGCCTCTGATGTTGGCACATGCTGTCTATTTATTGCATGCTCACACATGTTAGTGCTATATTCTCCACTATCCCTCAGATTTCATTGATACTCTCTTGTGGACACTAAGCAGATGTCTAAATTTATGCTTTTAAACATCCTTAATTAAAACTTCCATTTACCTCACTCACTCACTTCCTTGCTTAGGGTTCCACCACATACAGAAATGGAATTGAAGATGAAGCATCTTACTTAGGATTTTTTTTGAAGAAAAACCCTCCCGTGAGGAGGCTTCTAGTACCATGGAAAGATAAGTAAATATATACAATAATGACCTTTATAAGAATAAAGCAGAATTATTTTAACCATCTTTGAAGGAAAATATCTTTATACCAATACCATCAACATGTTCAAAAATTCTGTCTGGCATAACTTATTTCCTTCCTTGAGTTCCTGCAAATACTTACTACATTTGTTTATCTTGAAGACACAAAGCCCACTTATTTGTGAAGATTTTATAACAAATTTGGCACCTTGCAGATATTGCAAAACATTACAGCAAAATCTTCCTTCGAGGTCAGGTACTAAAAAACCTGACATATAACTTCTGTACCAAACTTGCTCTGTCATCCACCATCATTATAAAATCACCATATATATCTGCTGCATGTTAACAATTATGAGGTGAATTTTTCACAAATATTTCAGCATTCCAATTTGACATACTAATTAATGACATTCAAAATGACAGATTAGTAACATGTATTTTGTTCGTATGGCTTAATACAAAAGTCACTAGCGTTTTTTCCAGTAACTTCCTTTAAAAATGCAGTCCTGTTTATGTAGAAGGAAAAATAAATGTACCTGTTCCAGTAGCTCCAAAATTGGTCCTGCAGGTAGGCTTGGTGGCTACTTTCATCACCAAATGAGGCTTTGCTTTCAATCCAGTGAATTATGTGTCCTTCAACAGCTAAGGTGAGAGCAGAAAATAAAGTGAACTCTGAAAATCAAACTCAACAGCCTGTAAGAACATGTTTGGGAATATCCTGTTTACCACAGATCTACCACATAATTCATGCTTACAATAGAGTTATATATTTTTATGAATCATAGAATCATAGAATGTTTTGGGTTGGAAGGGACCCCTAGAGGTCATCTAGTCCAACCTCCCTGCAGTGAGCAGGGACACTGCTAACTAGATCAGGTTGCTCAGAGCCCCATCCAACCTGGCCTTGAATGCTTCCAGGGATGGGGCCTCCACTACCTCTCTGGGCAACCTGTTCCAGTGTTTCACCACCCTCATTGTAAAGAATTTCTTCCTTATATCTAGTCTAAACCTACCCTGGTTTAGTTTGAAACCATTACCCCTTGTCTTGTCACAGCTGGCCCTACTAAAAAGATTTTCCCCATCTTTCCTATAGGCCCCCCTAAAGTAAAAATATCTTTCAAATATGCACATAGGACATTTTTTTTAAAAAGTACCAGAAAATATTTTAGTGAATAATTATATCAAATTCAGTTTAATTACAGCTTGTTCTAGGCATCTGCATTTATTCTAACACAAATAGAATGTAAGGAAAAAGAGACTAGACTAAGGTGCAATTGCATCCTACTTTCACCCTTACTTTGCTGGAAAGGTTGTCACTTAAGGAATTGAGAACTTCTGGTGAATAACAAGAAGAGTTAGCTAAGCTGATAAAACCAGAAACTTCTCACCAATTCAGAGTGGAAGGTGTGAGAACAGCATGAAAGTTTATCATAGATATCTATCTGCTTCCTTAGTTTTGCAAAATCAGTAATGCTTCACCAGAAAGAAGTTAGGAATAAGAAGGCTTATGTGAAAAAATGTGATTTTGAATTTGTTTCTTTCAGTATTGTGGGATTTGCTTTGGTTCACATCTTTCCTAATTTCTTGCAGGGGTGAATTTCTACTTTTAATAAAATGATCTTTCTTTGGTAAAAGGAAAGTCCTCTCTGAAGTTGACAACCTAATTTTGCAGGACAAATTGTGAGAATCACTCTAACAGATCATTCTTTCTCCAAAAAGGTAATGTGGGGTATCATTATTGAGGTCTTTAAAAATGTTTCCTTTATTTTGAGTTTCCTGGGATATCCACAGTCATGATGTCTTGGCCTAAGTTTGCCCTGGGATGAGGTACTCAAAAGGCATGCAGACCCAGAAACCCAATACAGAAAGATTAGAAGAGGCTATGATTGACCACAGACTGTAAAATTACTTGGGAAATCCGGGTAAATAACTCATGAAGTCACCACACTAAGCTCCATATGCCACCACTACCTGCTATTAGTAACCAAGTTATCATAGAATCACAGCATAGTTTGGAAGGGACCTTTAGAGGTCATCTAGTCCACCTGCAATGAGCAGGGATGCCTTCAACTAGATCACATTGCTCAGAGCCCCGTCTAACCTGATCTTGGAATGTTTCCAGGGATGGGGTATCTACCACCTCTCTGGGCAACCCGTGCCAGGGTTTCACCACCCTCATCATAAGGCATTTCTTCCTTATATCTAGTCTAAATCTACCCTCTTTTAGTTTAAAACCATTACCCCTTGTCCTACCACAACAGGGCTCGCTAAAAAGATTGTCCCCATCTCTCCTATAGGCCCCCTTTAAGTACTGAAAGGCCTATATTGTGTACACCCATACTACTACATCTCCCCCCCTCCTCCAACACCTTTAGACCTCAGGAGATAAAATAGCTGAGGCATAAACCGTGTAGTCAGTTGAGAAGCAATTTCTAAGAAACATGGGCCTTTCCTAGCTATGTACTGAGTCGTGAAAAAGAGAATGCAAGGACTGCCATACATTAGTTCAGATTGGACAGCAGGTAGAAAATTATTTCCTGCCAATCTCAAGTGTCAGAAATAATCTGAAGAAAGTAATGCACTATCACTATGTGGATTTTCAGAGACAAATCTATGCAAACAAATGAATGACTATTTTTAACCTTCTTATTAATAGGGTAATATTACAAACCTAGGAATTCTTTTGGATGTTTCCCAGTTTCCCTTCTCAAGCACTAAAAAAATTAGCTCCATCTAGTTACTTTTCTAGTTTCCATTTAATCAAGCTCCTAAATAGCTGAATATAACCATACCTGTTTCTAATGTAAAAGTGAGTATCTTAATACTGAGTATGTATTGTGTATATTGTAGTCCAAACCACTGGGGAATCTTACCAATGTACCTAACTATCTGAAGGGCAGGTATTAAGAAGTTGGAGCCAGGCTCTTTTCCACAGTGCCCAGTGACAGGACCAGAGACAATGGGCACAAACTGAAACATGGGAAGGTCCGTCTGAACATCAGGAAACACTTTTTTACCTTGAGGGTGACTGAGCATTGGCACAGGTTGCCCTAACGCTTGTGGAGTCTCCATCCCTGGAGATACTCAAAAGCTGTCCGGACGTAATCCTGGACAACCAGCTCCAGGTGTCCCTGCTTGAGCAGATGACCACCAGAGGTCCCTTCCCAGCATCAGCCAGTCTGTGATTCTGTAATCCCGCAGAATTCCCTGCTAACTTTAGAATTGATAAAAAACAACCATTCCCTCATCCTCTCAAGTCCTTGGTAGCTTCCCAAGATGCTCCACAAGTCAGAGGCATGGAATTGAAGGAGTAGAAATTAATTGAAAACTCTCCAAGTGTGGCTTGACGAGAGTGAATTGTGGATTGTTAGTATGCCAAATCTCACTGTTTCATATATGGAGTGGTTCAGCTACAAAGTTATTTTGTACATATAACCTTTTATTAACATGACTACCATTTTTCTTTTTTGGAAATGTGATTAGGAATACAAACATCATTGAGCTAAGGAAAGTCTTTAAAATTTTTTCAAAAGACTCATACACATAGTTTATCTACAGGATAACAGATAATTGTGCTGAAGGATGGTATCTCAAGCACTTCTGAGTATTGACACATTTTACAGTACGCACTCAATTCCTTATACCATTCTACAAATCAGTTATCTCAGTAAGAATTCCAGCTGCTGTCAATATGAAGAACAAAAAACTAGTCGTATATGACTTTCACACAGTGCTTTGATCCTTCTTATTTTCTGTGATAGACACAACAGTAGGCATCTGCATAGACAGGTGCTGCATTCTATGAAGGTGAAGCAGAAGTCTTTTGGTCAATTTACAAATTGTGATTAATAATCCTTTACACTTGGACAACATGGATGTTTTTTTCTTCCATGGCCCAGCCACTGGGTCATCTATTGCTTTCCTACATGGCCTCAAGACCAGAAAACGTAGATGAAACTTGACATGACCTTTATATATACTTTTATTCCTTCTTGCTTTTAAAAAACAATGGAGAACTGCAGAGTTGTATTTAGATGCAAAGTGATGACCAAAGAATAACTGCACAATGACAAACCTTTACACATGACATCTAGGTGTAATGGTAATACTTTTAAGACTGCTTTGAACTCATTGGGTCTAGAAGTTTAAGACAATTATAGGTGTTCCAGAGTTCAGTTCATAAAGACAGTGGGCAGAGAAGATTAGAGGGCCTAGGGATTTGGGGGTTCTTATTGTTGCTTGTTTTTGTTTTTGTGATAATGAGACAAAAGCATGCAGAGACCAAAGAGGAAACACTGGGTAATACTACTTACACTCAAACCTCTCTGCTCAAAACTACAAGTTCTTAAAATTATTGGGTAACTACTGAAAAAATGAGACTGATTTGTAGTATCCTGTAATATACCTCACTTAAGTAACCATAATATTTTAGCATGATTACTTCTACACAAAATAAAATAATAAAAATTCTTTGAAAAGACTTACCCACTGGCACTTCTAAAATAAAGTCTGGTGTTTTGTCATAACCTTTTGCACGAAGCTGATCTTCAGCTATACATAGAGAATAAGAACTATCGTTTATAAAACTATTCTATTAAGTAGACAGCAGTATAATTAATTTTATTTTAAATAAGAGTGCAAGAATTACTAATGCAGTCATACATATCTTTCTTATGCATGCAATGCTGTGTCAGATTAAATGAACCTTCGTAGAAAACCTGAAGCATGGATATAAAAATGCTTCTTTGTCATCCCTGCATTTTTATGTCTTCATTATAAACATCATTAATTCAAGCTGTCATACAGTATTTTATAACCCCCAAATATTCAAAATAAAGAGGTATATTCGCTGATTGAAAGAAGAGTCTCCCCACATTAGGAAGCTGTTAAGATTAATCCTACCAACACCACAAATACAGATATACTGTAGCTGCCTTCTTGGTTTAATTTTAATATTAGGATAAAGTTGTTAAAAAAAGAACAAGAAAATCCTTCTCTTCCAGAAATTTATTAAAGGAGAGAGAAGCCATAATTTTAGTTTCTCTTGCATACAAAATTCTATAGAATGTATCAGATTTCAGAACAGACAAAGATTTAGAAATTCTGTAACATTAACTATACAGTTCTATTGCTTACAAATATTACAGCTGAATATTTCAAGGAACAATAGTAAGAAGTAGGCAAGCTAAAACAGCAAAAGACAAAAGGTGCTTCCTTTAAAAAAAAGAAAAAGCTCAAAGCAACTATTGTCCTTGATTTCCGATACTGTTACATTGGTATTTCTGAAACACCATTTCTCTATTAGAATTTGGAGTGACCTGGTCATTCAATTCCAGGCATGGCTTTCTGTCTTCACCCAAGCTCAACTAATGGCACTACCTAGTAACAAGTAAGGCTGTGTAGCCCCTTAACACCTACTGGGCTGTTGACATTGTCATGCATCCCATTCGCCTTTCTACATCACCTTTGATTAAAATTAATGGTCCATTCTCACTGTTGGGTAGCTTATTTCCAATCCATTTATCAGGTTAGGACAGTAGTTTCATGGCCAATGTTCAGAACTCAGTTTTAGAATAGTTTGTGCATATCCTGAAAGGTCAGCAGTTTGAGACCAAGTAACATTTTAATGACAAGAAAAACATAGACTCTTAGAAATCAAAATAGTTTACAAGTGCCTAAAGCAAGCTTCCCTCCTCTTTCTCACTGAAGAATATAACTCTCAAGTATTTTTTTATATAGTGAACTAATAACTGAAAGTGGGACAGGACTAATTTTGAGAAGTGGTACATTCACTTAAGTGTAAACTGCAATAGCTGTTTATTCTTTTTGATAGCTGTAGTATTTCTTTTGAGATTTGAGAGTATTTCTTCATTGTAAGCACACTATATTGTAAATACAAGCCTTTGCAATGCAACACTTCATTATATCACCCAACAAGCATTAAACTTTTCTAGGATTTGGATACAAACTTGGTTGTTGGCTATTTTTTCAAAAAGACTGGCAGGTACATGGATAAAAGATTTTTACATTAACAAGATTCTAATTTAGCAGAATCTATGAATAGAGAGTTTTATGCCATAACACAAAAATTAATGAATGTTCTAAGTAATCTCTTAATCTTGATAAAAATAAAGAATAATGCAGTCTTACCTAACTCTAACTGTAACCTGCTCTTAACTGTTTAAAACAGTGTAGACAAGATAACAGGATGTCCTAGCTGAAATTTTAATTATTTAAGAATGCACAAAAGCCACTAAAAGTTCAGTCTTCTCTATCACATCTAGGAAACGCTATTATCACAAATTCAGGGAAATGTACCTTAAAAAACCCCACTGAAAATCAGGACAGATGTAAAACCATTTCCTGATGGATCAACTTGGCAGGTCTCTGAACCGGAGTTTGCATCAGCATTACTTTTAATATTCTTCAGCAGACTCTTTTTTTCAAGGTTGTCCAATTACTTTTAAAATCATTTGACACTAACACATCGCTTGAAAAAGACCATGGTTTTTGTTTTAAATCTGTTTCTGAATGTTTTCACTTGGTTTCTCCTAGCACTTTTATTATGATAAACATTGGAAAACATGTAAAAAACCCACTTATTATTGATATGAGTTGTCTATCATGTACAGGAGCATAATTATATATTACTCTTTCTTCAAGTATTTTGAAGCTATAACTTTGGGGGAAAAAAAAGGAAAAAGAATTACAGAAACTCCCCACAATCACCACAAACTTTGTTTTTAAACCAAAACCCCACCAAAAGAAAAGAAGTTCTAGCTTTTCAGCACAGGTATGTTTCATGCTGGTCCAGAAGCTACAGAGGTAGCATTCTGCACCTTAAAAGATCTTTTAGCTCTTGCATGGATGAAGAAAACCCCACCAAAAGAAAAGGAGTTCTAGCTTTTCAGCACAGGTATGTTTCATGCTGGTCCAGAAGCTACAGAGGTAGCATTCTGCACCTTAAAAGATCTTTTAGCTCTTGCACGGATGAAGAGAACAATTTTAACAACTGCTTGAAAGCCAGCCCCAGCAGCTTTGACAGTTACATTTATGTATCTTCAGATTTGCAAATTACATTGAAACTGCCCTAATAAGTCATTATTTTACAGATTCCCCATTAATTTATTTCCACTAAAACTGGAGTTTCATCTTTACCATAACTTCACACTCAATCATAACCATTTAACACATCATTGTTCTTATACTAGCCTCTGGATATAACAAAGAAACCAAACATTCTTCTGTTGGTGCATGATTGAGCAGCAACTGCAAATTTTAGATTACAGCAGGAAACACTGATCAGCTTTCATGGCTTATATCCAGGCTACTGCTGAGGGCCATCATGGTGGGAACCAAAGGAGGATAAGATTCCAGACAAAGGTCAGTACCTTCCCATTATAGGTAAAAGCTTTCCAAATATATTCATGGCAAAGATATAAAAAAATAAAGATCATATATAGAACCTAGAAATTCCTGGCATTCCAGTATGGGAAGTGAAGCTATTAGCCTGTTTTGAGAGAATGCTTCCATTGATCACTTTAATCTCAGGCAAAGTGACAAAGACTTGAGAGCTGTGTTTTTGCTGAAGAGAGGACGTGGTATATGATGTGCTTCTCATGAACAGTGGATTAACAAAATGCAAACCTCATTAGCTTGTATAGCTTTCCAATCAATTTCTGGGAGAATCTGAAGGTGTTACTTCTGATCAGTAGGCTCTGAAATCTAACTGCTCTAGGAACAGACAAACCACATCCGGACCTGAAAAGCTGTTTTATGTTCCAAGACTATACTGGGGCAATTTATGTTCACCGTGTCCTTTGCCTGTGCTTTCTTCTCCTGTAATAGAATCTCTGTTGCTCAGGTGAACACAGCTGATACAAAAAACTTGCTATTCTTTCAGAATAGTACACTGGAATAGTACACTAAGATGGAAACTGCAAGAATTCTGTTTCTTTAATGTGCATGCAAAAGTAATGGAATTGCACATACAGCAATCTAAGTCATAAGCCATCTTCAAAACTGGAATGCAGTCTTATTCATAGTCTAACAAAGCCTGAATTTGTTGACCTATAGGAAATACCATCATCTCTTCTGTAGTCCTTAAATTTTCTTCAAGCAGTTTTGGAACTAATTTTTCAGAAAGGGATGATTTTATTATGAGGGGTTGAGTAGGGTTCATCTTGCAGATACTTAGGAAAAGCTTTTTTTTTTCCTTTTAAAAATTGCACCTACAACCTTAGAAACACATGCAATGCACAGAAATAATAAACACAACCACTTAACATATCTTAAATCATGACTAAACAATATTTCAGTATACCCAATATGTAAACAATAAATTAAGCTCTCATTTATATCTTTATATTCTAATGAGTTAACTCATTCTAAATATTTTGATTTGACAGCACAAATTTCTTAGAGCTTATATCTAAAGACAAAATTGATGCTTATCCAAGGTCATGAAACATTAAAATTTAAATCTGATCTGTGTACTACACAAGCTTGCACAAGCCAAATAAAATGATAATCGTTGGGTTGAGGATCCATTAGTGAGTCATCTAGTCCATTCCCTTGTATCGTGACAGGATTGATTTCATTACCAGCTTTGATGGATGAGTGTCAAGTTTAGCCTTGAATTTTTCATTGAAGGTGATTCCATAACCTTCCCTGGCAGCTTGTTTTATACTTATTGTTCCTAGAACTGTAATTTTAACTCAACATAATCTCTGCCATTACAGCTTAAGCCTATTACCTATCTCTGCTCTTATAGCCAAGTAGGAAAAACTACCTCTTCATATTTTCATAGTGTCATTTGCAAGTCTTTTTAAAATTTTTTTCAAAAATGAAAGAGTACACTAACTCTGTTCCTTAATCATATGGACAAATCTTTCAAAAATCTTAATACTCTATCTAATTTCTTAAATTTGTTTAAGGTTTCAAAAATCTTAACCTGAATCTAGCTGTAGGAGAGACCATAGTTTCTGGTAAAATCAGTAAAATTACCTGATCACTTAAATGTAGTACAAGCTCAACCATTAACAAAAGACAGCATTTCACTTTGTTATTGTCTCATCACATAAGGAATCCAAGATTTAAGAAGTCATTGTTAATTTTATTACCACAGTAAGAGAAATGATGCTTTAAACACTAATCATTTTTTTAATAGCACTCTTACAAGAAATGTAGTGCAGGCTGAACGAAAAAAAAAGAAAATAACTTCCTAACTAATTAATCCTTAAAATAACTTTAAATATAAGGATTGTGAAAGAGTCCTTGCATTGGTCAGGAGGCAGGGGGCAAAAATTCAGCAGAAACTGCACAGAAAGCTAAATGAGTGAATCCTCTAGCAGTTCTTTAATACATAAAGCATTTTGAAGCTAATATTTCTTATGCTTCCTCCTAAGTCTCATAAGGCCTAGATTATGGCTAATATCTCATGACACCAAAAGTAATACTGCAGCAGATATTAAAGCATTTTTTTCAGCTACTTATTCTATAAAATATTAATTGCAAGCCTGTGCATGTGCTGTATATATAGGGTATTAGGTAACTGAGTTCCTACTCAGTTCTAAATCAATAAAAGATAACATGTACAGCATCAATCATTTTTTACTCTTCCTTTACTACCTAATACAATGAGTGTTGAGGCTTATTTTTTTCTTAAGTAAACAGTCACTGAAGTCTTTCAAGTTAAGGATTCACTGGCTAGCCTCTACTATAGATTCTTACCTATGAAAGAGAGATTTTTTTCCAAGAGCATTTCTCGCAGCAAGACTTCATGTTCATGTCCAATAGCGCTGATAGCTTTAGGTTAAGAAATGGAAGATTATTTTGGAAAAGAACCAACTTCAGAAAAACACCATAGGTAAAGTAATATATAACAAAATCTCTTGGTCTTCATCCGCATTTCAGAAGTGATCACTGATTTGAACTCTTAAAGTTTTGAAATTCCTTACAGGGATTTTCAGATGCATTTAGCATTTTGTAAAAATCAGACTACTGTATTATCAGCATACATTTTACACCATTAAGACCCATTAGTATTTGTTCAGTATAAATAAGGGTAATATTTCCATTTTTTGCTTTATTTCACCCCCAAATTTAAAAGAAAGTGTGAGCTTAAAACATGTCATTAAATACCTTTGAAGTTGCTCTTTATTGACTAGTGTACCAATTCTCTAATCAGCAAAGAATGAAATAAGCTGGTTTTTTTTTTATATTCTGAAATTCATAGGCACTACATCCATCTGCAACATCTTACTGTAACAAAACATCCTTTTAATTGATTTTTCAGAAGCGTGAACTAATGTCAGGGAAGGATGAAATAATATTTTATAGTGAAGTCCTTTTCACTTCACTGACGGCCTGTTGATCCAATGTGCTATTCTTAGCAATATGTAAAAAAGTCATCACATCAAGTATTTTTAATGTGTCCTCCTGGAGGTCAAAGTTCTATTCTGGAAGCTTTTAAGAAGAATCTTATGGAACATCGCTACAAAGGATCTTACATTAAAACCAGTTAAGTTCCTAATTCTGTTTAGAGTAACTTCTGAAAACTTAAACTACAGATCACCTTATCATTGGAGTTAATGACTTAATTTATACCAACACTTTATGCTGAGCAGCAGAAAACCTAATTGTATGGAATAATTTCATATATATACATATATATGTACACACACACAGTTTTTATCAACTGAAAATATATATTATGTTAAACTTTACTAGCAGTTACAGAACAAAAGGGGCAAACGAAGAACAGCAAAAATGTAAGAAAAATACTGCAAACAGAATTTATAATGCACAATCCATAAGCAGAAACACTTAGACTTAGTCTATAATGATACCTGTTATTGATGTATGGCAATGACCATGGGGCAAAACTTGTAAATAACCTCACAAGCCATTTTCTACTCATGCAATCTAGCAGCCTAGTTTCCCGTAAGCATCTGAACTATTACTGAAAAATAGCCTCTTGGCATTTACAAAGAGGTTGACTTCATACTTTAGTCCATGCATATACAATTAGGTAGTTATATTTAAAATCAATATGCAATCCTTCAGAAGACATTATGCTTTTAAAACCTTAACTTTAAATTGATTTTTAACTATTTTATGCACCTCAAAATTAACATCTAATTCAGCAACATACTTGCAGATAATGCACTCGCGCAGCTTAGTATTAAACTTTTCTGTACCAAAATGGAATTGAAAAACTCCTCATTATTCTCATTGATGTCACTGTGTATTCAATAACTTCCCTTGAACCAGAATCTGAAGAGGATAGAAAAGACCTTTTTAGACTGCAGGCAAATTATTCTTAAAAACTGTTCATAATTCTACATATGTATTATTATTACTTTTAAACATGATACTTTCAAAAGACTATGCCAGACTGTTCATCAACAAAATATTAACCTTAAAATTCTGGATATGAAAATCAGTGATCAACAACCTTTTAAAAAGTGTAACTTATTAGATTAATGCATTTTCAGAGAGCTGTGTTTAATGTTGAAGATAGGCTCAACGAATACTAAAAATTATGATTAAACCCACAAAATACAACTACAATTAGAACTCTATCCCAATGCCTTTAAAGTTAATGGGAGCAGGGCTGAGTCTGTAGCACACATCAGGCAAGTATTTCTAGTGGAAAGAACATATTTTTAAAGGGTGACCACCACATGTATCACAACTACAAGCGGTGGTGTTTTTCATAGATAACTAAACATCATTTTCATACATAACTAAACATCACTGTGGCTTTCCTATCCTGCAGCTGTACAGTGAAATCAAGATATTCCCCCAAACTGCAAGCAGAAATTTATGCAAAGATTCTCTAGGGCTTGGGAGAGGATTGCCTTGCTAGCTTGTTCAGTGATAGCAGGCCATGATTTTGAAATAGTTGCTTTGATAGGAGACTGAAACAGAAGAGAGACTCAGTCAGGACCTCATTAAAGATCTGGGGTTGCAGTGTTCATTCCCAACAAATCATAACCTTAGTCTGGAATACGTGGTACTGTGTGGAGCTTCCCCAGTATTGTCACTGGATACTGATAATCTCGAATTAACCATTTCAATAGTACAAAACCCCAAATCCCTTAAAATTCAAGCTATGCAGGGTTTTTTCTACAGCTAGCCTCATTTCCTTTAAAAAGAAGAGAAAGCAAAAGAACTGCACTGGAATGTCAGATAAGAGTTTAAAAATACTCATTGGTCAATCACACCTGAATTGCACTTAAAAGCATTCCAATTAAGACTCATATTCATAACAAAGCAATGCCATAACGTTGAACACTATCTATGCAACTTATTAATTTAATTACAGAACATTTGAGATTGGAAGGTATCTCCAGAGATCATCCAGTCCAACTCCACTACTCAAAACACGGTCAACTAGTCTTAATAGAAAACCAGACATGCATTTCAACTAATCAAACCCAAAGAGGTTCAATCAGGCATATGAACGTGTAGCCACCAAACTGACAACTTCCCGTGGTACATCTGATTTTTGTTAAACAATAGAAAAGAAAGCTCTGCAGTGACCCTCTAGCTGATTGAATGTAAAACAGAGGAGTATGAAACGTGTTTTGTGAAGCAGAACTTTATGTCAGGTTAAACCTAGACACATCTCTTCCACACAGTCTAAGCTCGTCAATTGTGCACCTAAAATTTTATGGGAAAGGATACTGTTTGATGCAGTCCACCAGTGGTCCATAACAACAGTCATTCACAGTACACTGCAGACAAATAAGAGAAGTAGTATAGTGATGGGCAACTACAAAACCATTATAGTTAAACAGTATCTTAAAAACAGTAATTACTTTTCTTCAAAAAGGCTATCAGATGCTGTTCAGATTTAATCACAGAAAACAAAAACAGCATGCTTTTATTCACTATAAAAGCAAGCTATTAAAAAGTGAAATGCTCCCCTCACAAATATTGCATTGCCATTTATAGTGCACCCTGACCTCACTGATAGTTTACGATGACAGTAATTAAATGAGGTTTAAAATCTTTTCCTCCGCTAGGCAGATAACAGCATTGCCACGGGAAAAAAAAGAAAAAAAAAAAAAAAAGAGAACTGTGATTAATACCTGATAGACTTGATTTGCTAGAACTCCATCTGGAATCTGAGAAGGGTCCCGCAGCATACTATTTATAAGAGTTTTGGAGGCTAGAGAAATAAAGAATAAAAACATACAAAAAACCTGTTAGCTCAGTTGTCCATTTGGCAGGAAGAGACATACTTTTATGAGGAAAACATTGATGATGTTGATAATTTTGAAAATTATCCAACCAGCAACTACACACCGATAAATTTGTAGCTACTTACCCATTCTGATACGATTAACTCAAAGTCTCAAAACACCAAAGGATGTTATTAGCACAAGGTGAAAGCAGGCCCTTGTTTACTTACTCAGTTTCACTGGACAGTTTGTGCTTCAGAAGCATCATGCAGCTCCTGAGGAAACTGCTTACTATAAAGAAAATGTAACTCAAAATAACCTCCATATTCTAGGAGAACTCAAGGAAGAAGATATGTAAAAATTCAAAACAGCCTTTAAAAACAATGTTTGGTCTCAGCAACCTTAAGCACTTTATAGACTTGATGGCTCCAGTTTAGTAGTTTTCAAATTTATTTATTTACTTATTTAGCGTTGACACATTTATTTGGCTATATTTAAAAGCTGGCAAAAGGCTTTCTGTGCTATTTTCAAATGTATAAATCTAAGACACAAAAGAAATCAGAAGTGAATTTAGGACTATTTATCAGTCTTTTAGTCACGGATATTGATACTACAATGAAAAAAATAACATAAATCAATAGATGCCTTTAGTTGATTTTCAAATACAGTCCTTGCAAGCACTGGCATTCTTTTCTCTCCATATGCTTAATCTGGGTAGCTGCACATACCAGTTAATTACTAATAGTAGTGGAAAGACTTTATTCTAGAAAAACTTTTCATTTTACAATTTCTTAGAGAAAAACCCACTGCTGATAGACTTCAGCTGGTGGTGTATTTACACCATTGAATCTGTAAGTGCAGACCAGGCTTGAGACTAGTGAGGTTCCCCACTTTGCCAAAGATTTCCTGTATGAATTCAGGCAAATTCCTTTAACTCCTGTGTGCTTCAGTTGTGTAAACAAAGTGATAAACTACTCTTTTCCTGTTCTTCAACCATTTTGCCCCAAATCAGGGCCAAAGCTTTGTCACTCTCTTCAATGATTGAATCGAAACCCTCAAATCTCTCTGTGAAAAGGATTTCTGGAACCTGTGACATGAAGGGAATCTGCCACATAAGCAGCAATGCTACTCTATTAATGAATGTGTGTAAACACTTTGCTGAAAGTAAAGGAGACAGTCATTTTAATCTTTTCCCCAAATGTTGTCTCCTAAAAGCATCACATTCAGTTGAAATAGTATTTTTATTTAAGTATTTTGTTTAGAAAACTATAGCCTAACGCAAAGGAATATAAAACCCAAAATGAGTTTAAAGGCTTTGCAAGTGCTGCAAAGAACAGCATCATCACAGACAGGAGCAAAAGTTTGTGCAAATGTTTTAAGAGAGAATGATATAATAAGCCAAAATACTTCCAGACACATCATGCCGTATTACATATTTGTATCTTGTTCATCTCATATGAAATAAGCATTACTTTTACAAGTGAATAGTAAGTATAAATAGGCATTTCACTTCAGCTTTTGTATGCTGTTAAAAATACGTTTTGTACACAGGATAAGAACTTTGAAAATGTCAACCAGAAGGTGGTGTGTATATATATATATATACACTTTATTAACACTAAGAATTAAAATAATAACAAATTTTTAGTAGGTAGGAATAATATACAAGTAACAGTCTTCCAGTAGAGAGGTTGATACAATGGTAGAATAATAAAGAGTGTAACTGAGGAAGATTGAGTAGAATTCACTGTTTTGAAGGGCTACTGATTTAAGTATCGTGACTTGATTATGAAAAAAATTAAGCTATTTTATGACTGGTCAAAACCCCAGAAAAACCCCACGGATTCATATTAGGGAAATCTTTAACCAGACTCTACTTTGAGTAATGAGCTACAGGTGCAAAATAAATTTCCTCTATTTCTGAGGAATCTTCAGTTTCTCACCTGAAGTTACCAGACATTCTATTCTTTACCTATATCATAGTGATAATGAATTGACATACTGAATATTGTATTATGCTGAAGTCACAGTGTTTCTATAAGGTTTTAAATTAAGCCTTTAAAAGTAAGGGCATCAAACAAAATATACTAGCTTTCAATATATTATTGTTCCCTCTTATATAAACATTATCTGCTTATGTAATGTCCTGCAAAATTAAAAAAACCCCAACCCTGCATATTGTTGATTTTGTATTACCCATGCAGCTAAAATAAGGTATCTTCAACTGCAATTCTTTTTTCAGAAAGCCAGTTACTGCAGTAGCAGCATACCAACAGGCTGATTGTGTACAACTGAAACGGCATGGAAGTGCTAAGGATTTTACGTGAACAATAAACTGCAGTGAGAAAATAAAGCTTATTGGAACACTATTCTGGCATACACCTCTTCCTTACTTAGTCAGAAGTACGATGACACTGGTGAATATTTAAACAAAAGCAGATCATCTGCTTTTCTTACTCAAGCTGCTATACTACTTCTAGTTGTGGT